CTCGAGCTTGGCAACAACTGCACCCAAAAGGACTCTCAGATCTCTCATGTCGCAATGCTGCCAATTGAAAGTGAGTCGCCACGTCTGTGCAATTCAGCTGGAACGACTGGGATGCGCACGCTTCAGTCGGAAGGTGGCCGGCCGAAGCAGGCTGTAGAGCTGGGAATAGAACCTTTCTGTTCCAAAAAAATGCTCAGCTTCGCAGGCACATGAACACAAAGGGCTGTCCACAACATGCCCAAACATTGACGACGAGTGTCAAGCGCGGCTGCAACGTCAGCGAGAACTCTCTTCACACATCTGCTGTCAGTGTTGCTTGCTAAGTGCCGGGCTCACCACAAGACGCAGAGAGGGTCTCCGGATCACCAAGACCATACCGTGTGAGCCTGACACAACTTCTAGCACAGTACCCGAGCTCGTATAGTCGTATACCTGCCCGATCACTGCTGCTACTGCTGCCATTTCCACTGGCGCTGCCAACGCACCCACTTCTGTCACAACTGGTGCCACTGCGCCCTGTGAAACGTCGCTTATGCCTCTCTACATCAACAAATACCACCATCACTACCGCAGTGGGCTGCTGCTTTGGCAGCGCGTCAACATTACAATTATGGTGGCCCACCACCACCACTGACAACGACGACAACGACAGCCACGAGCTTTGACAAGAGATAATCTGAGTCCCCATCAGCAAGAGCAAGCCGCTCAACGCTAGAACGGAAATCTCCAGGGAGCCTGTTTCACTGCTGTAGACTCAAAAAGCTTCCAGGCTCACTTGCGGGTTTTCGCCTTGCCTGCATGGAAAGCTCGTAAGTAGAAGTCAGACAACAGCAACGGCCGACCTTACCAGAACGTCTCAGCATCCCATCAGCTCCGATGCCACATGTTGGATCTCCAAGGCCGAGGCTCAGATGTGGAATCACAGAAGTGGGCAGCAGCTGGAGCCTCACGCGCGTTTGCTTTCGAAGCACTGGAGAAACGCCCCGAGACTCGGGTCCCTGCAAGGCGCTGCAGTGGACAAGTGGCACGCGAAGTCCCAGCCTTGCAAGTCGCGAAGTCCCGAAGTCCGAAGACCCCAAGGCCGCTTTTTCCGATCTCGGCATCCCACAGCTTTAGCCAGGCTTCTTGGAAGAGCCTCCTGTACTCGCGTCTGTAGTGGCCCAAAGGCCTCAGCCACTCACACGGTCTGGCCTCCACTAGTTACAGACTCGACGAATGTCTCAAGCATGTTCCCGCCTGCTGGTGGGCAACAGCAGCTCGCCCGTGACCTCCTCGTCGTCCTCGAGGGGTTTGGCGTTGGGCAACACTGCGGTGTGCCCCAATCATCTCACACAAGAAACACCGGAGCTTCGTGAATACCGAACCTCCGAATGCCTGTGTTGAGCCTTTGGCTGAGGTGGCATAATCAGGCTGAACATGGCTGAACCATGCTTTCGATAGCAGCCGTGTTGTTTTCAGTGTTTCGGCTGCCCGCCTTGTGCCATGGAGGGATGTACCCCGGGGTTTCCATCGTGTGCAACAAATCTGGAGGATCACGCGCTTGCTGCAGGTCCGGCTGGCAATCGCTTGTTCTGTGCTGTTTTGGCATAGAACCTGCCTCAGAAATCGCAAAAGACTAGCTGCAAAGCTCGAACATTGCCCTGCCCTGCCCTGCCCTGCCTGGGCTTTGACAGGATCTGGTTCCGGAGCCTGGCTTCCAAACTGGCAACACAATCAAGCCATGTCCCACTTGCTGCCGACATCAAATATTGTCTGCCATGCAGTCAAGTCTGTCACCTAAGCCCCTGCCTGTTTCAGGAGGGCCAGCAGCCTCTCGAAGAGCTCCTCTGCGCTGCGCCCTGCCATCTCGCACTGACTGAAGCCGCAAGCTTCCATGACACAAGCACTCCCTCTTTCCAGGCCTTTCTGAAAGGCGGCTTCTGCCTGAGCAGACCCCGACGCTCTTGAAGTCGACTGATTCTAAAAGCACCCGTGGAACACGCAGCCCATCCACTTATGCTGCGTAGATCCGCGTAGCGGGTTTGTGCAAGAGTCCGCAAGAAGGCTTAAGGTCAGTGCAAAGGGCCCATGCAGGCGCTTGCGCTTGGTGGGTGGCTCGGCCTCCTGGACGACCATGCTTGCAATATCTTGCAATGCTGGCTAGTCTAAGCTCGTCTAAGCTAGTCAACTAGGGATTTCCTCTGCAGAGGCCTGAGGCGTGTGAAGGGCTTGTCAAGTTGTTTACAGTAGCACGCCACCTCCCCCTTCTCCGTCACGGCTGTATCTTTGGACACCTGCCAGACATGTCCTTTTTGCAGAACCAAAAAGCACCAGACCAACAAAGACATCTTGCAGGAGCCTCACCGCCGGGTTCACGGCTGACTTTGCCCACCTTTCAACCAAGACTTCGGCTCACGACTGAAGGTGCTGAAGCATTCGTGGAGACAAACTTCGCCCAGGCTGGGCCATGCCCACCTGCTCTGCACAGCTGCGCAAATGGCTCATCGTATAGTGCCTGGTCCGGTGTCTCACTGGGAGACAGTACGTCCTTTGTGTGGGAGTTGGGCACGGTTAACGCTCAGAGCATGAGCGTGTTGTATACCCACCATTTGGGGTGAAAGTTCCCCACGACTGCAGTTCAAAGCTTTGGACATGGCTTCGCTTTGTCGAAGCACAAGCAAGCGGTGTACAGTCAGTACCTTAGATACCCAAGGATGCGACTTCGATTTACGATGCTAACGGAGCTGTCGGCACAATGGCTGCCAGCAGGATCAACGTTTGACACGCCGCCCTCGCTGTCGACTCCACGACTCCACCACAGCCGTGCAGTCAAGGACCTGGCCTGAAGTCGTCGTACTCGCGAACGTATTCAGACATCAGGCAGTCCACCTTAAGGTGCTTTGCCGCAGATGGAGACTCGCTGTGACATGCTCGCAGTCAGCTCCTGGCGACTTGGCTATTCCACCTGGCAGCAGAGCAGATGAAAGTCCAGGGCCGGCGTTTTGTGCAGAGTGCCTGGGTGCCAGGAGCAGCTCAGTGAGCAGCGTCTGGATCTGAAGTTCAGGCCTTGCGAGCCTGAGGTTCTGAAACACATCGGAAAAAGACACGGCACCGTCCGCTTGCTGGATACAGATTTTTGGTGCACCGCCCAGGCTGTCGATGATCGTCTGAAGCCAAGGCTGGCCATGAAGTTTTTTCAAGGAGTCCAGGTATGCCCTCGTCAACTCTGCCCGGCAAAGCATTCCAGTGTCCCGCTCGAGAGTCAGTCTCAGCTGGAACTCATCGGCAAGGAACTGCAGCAAAGCATTCCAGTCATCTGAAGACGAGGGTGTCGGCTTCGAAAAGAAAGCATCAATCGCGGAGATGCCACGACCAAAGTCCTGCTCCCATGCTGCACACTCCTGCGCAAATGCGCAGACTCTGCAGCAGAGAGGCGGCTTTGAGCCCGCGTAAGTATCAGTTTTTTGAGCTCTCATCCAAGCTAGGCGACAGTCCGCATGGTAAAAGTTTCCTGAGTCCACCACCCCCATCCGAGGGTCGACAACACCATCCCCATGACCTGACATGCAGCCAGGGGCGCAGGTTGCTGGGTCGTCCCCTGTGTATTCACAGCAGCAGATCCCACAAACAGCGTCGCACGGCAAAGCTCCAGCGATCGGAAAGTCTGCCGGACCAAAGTGGGTTTGCTCTGCGAGGCCCTGCATGCGCCTGACCGCAAGATGCTTGCCTGTTTCGTCGACAAGCAGGAACACATCGTGCCAGTGCAGTACGTCTGGACGTGCGAAGCACTCGCTGCAGTACTCTGGCCGCCCATCGAAAGCACTCTCCGGCGGGAGCAGCTCGCACAGCATGCATTGAAAGCGTCGTTTGGGAGGTAGACTGGTCATGGATCGAGCGCAGCTCGAACAGCGAATGCAGGCGCAATCTGGCGAAAAGCAGCAGCTAGCACCACAAAGTTTGCTGTAGTAGCTCTGCCAGCGCATCATATTCTCAGTAACAGCTCGAACAGAAAGATCTTTCATCCAATCTTCGAGCACACCTGCATCCAACTCTTGGAAGCTCGCACTGCAGTCAGCGCCCTCCATGTTCGCACTCGCAGACCGAGGATCACGAGCTGGGCATCAAGAGACAGTCTGAGTCTACATCTGACTCTGAAGCCGAGACTCCAGGCCGGGCGCAGGACACAGGTCGCACAGGTCGCTGGCAGAAGTGCCCAGCAGGAGGGGCGAGCGTCAGGTCCTGAGGCCGATGCCCAAATAGCCGAGCCAGCTCGTCACCTTAATCGAATCATGCGAGTCGCACGCATACTTTGAACTCTGACTGTCCTTCTGTTGAGGCTTGCACCGGACATCTTGGTCGAGAGGCTCATTTCAAGAGCCTGCTGGGCAGCAAGTGCTGGCAATCGGCATTCCCCAAGAAAAACTTAGGTGAAGAGGATCGTCGGGCTTTGTGCCTGCACGAAGAGTCAAGTGCCACAGCAACATGCTGACACATGGGTCATGTTGTAAAAACATGCACATCGGACATCCCAAGGCGTCTGTCTCCCAAGACTCAAAGACCCCGCCTCGTCCCGTAGGAGCGAGGCTTGGAGCCGAACAGCACCTCCGATATGTTCCGAGAGTCGGAAAGCACATGAGAGACTCCTCTTCCCCGACATCTGGGGCATTGGCAAACTTGAGCACGAGTCTGCCCAGAACCGGCCAGCTGCAACAGGAGCGATCGCAAGGCCTGCCGACTGGCGACACGTACACGGTCCCTCATCTCTTAAGAGCGTTGGTCTATCAGGACAAAGACCCAACTACACTGCTTGGTTGCACCTCGCCGTGTTGGCGAAGCCATTTCACGAGCTCTTGCTCAGCACCTGGCAGCTTGACCCAAGACCCGAAACGAAGAGCAGAAGAAGCTGCACATGAGGTAAGAAGCCCGTGAACCAAAGATTGCAGTAAGAGGTTCGGGCAGATATGTTATGTTGATGAAGAACAATGGACGTGCTCTCTGAGGTTCCGTCTTCTGTCTGCTTCTCCTGCAAGCTCGACTGTCAGCTTGCGGTGGTGCCTCGGCATAGACATGCCTTTCTCTCTGCTCGAGCTGATAAGCAGGCAAGGGCATCGGGCCACAGTGCTTACATGTGCTTACCGCACACTCGGGGTGGAGGATTTTTCAGGCCACAAATGCAGCCAAGCGACGCCAACACTTTCGACACACTCTGCAGCGCGGCAGCCACGAGCCCTCGGCCAGCTGTTGGAGACTTCTAGAAGTTGTAGGGGCCGCCACACTCTCAAAATACCCATGGGATTCCATTGCTTGATACTGCTTGAGTCAAGCTTCGCAGGTCCTCGGATTCGCACAACGCGAAGAGGTCGGAGATCTGGCAGCGTCAGCTACGCTTGCACAGATTGTGTGGCTTGCGGGGTCCACCGTTGTTGGCCCCGTCCACGCCCCGACGGCTCACGCACGTTCACATAATATGCCCACACACATACACACACACGCGCGCGCGCGAAACCCCAACTTCAAGCCGTCTAAACGTACCAAGCCATGCCAAGCGCATAAGCTGCTCTTTCTTACAATCGTCTGCCTGGGTCTGCCTTTGCCCGATCATTCCGACCTATGTACACACTGTTTGGGACTTGGACAACTGTGCCAGCATCGCACTTCTTGCAGCACGGCTGTTCAGCTTCCCACGTCATGCAGGGGACCGCCCTCTGCAATATCATAGCGATCTCATAGCGACCGTACTAATCACATCAGCATTGTCGAAGCAACCGCAGCAAGTTCCGTGCATGTCCAAAGTTATAGGCATAGGCATACCCTAGCTGACATCAGAATCAACAGAAGCATCAAGGAGCCAAGAATGATTCTCATCACCTGCGTCATACATACGCAGAATAAACAGCCGTGGCGCCAGATACGGGCTGCCAGTATGTACTGTTACGGCAATCCTTCTTGGCGGCGTCATTGGCAGTATTCACATCTACAACAAGTTGTACGTTGTGTTTCTTCTGGTGCTGGCTATCACCGGGCGATGGCGTCCAACAACACCACTCCATCTGTAGCGCATGTGAGCATACATGCTACGTCCTTTGACTTCTACCCCTAGATACTTACTTACCACTGCAAAACATTTAGATTGTCGTTACTGCTCTTGCTGCGATTAAAGCTGCGACCACCCACAACGACAATTATCCGCTTTGTGGCCAGTGCTGTTGCTACACTGGTGGTCTCCGTGTATGAGCAGGAGCTCTCCTCTGGCTATCAGCAAAATCTGCCACAACTAACCAACTGACAGATACTAGCTGCTGCAATAGCTTCTGGCAGCCACTCCCATGTCTTGGACCTCGTTCAGGTGCTGACGCCCTGCAGGGCCCAGCAAGCGCTGCCTGCAAAGCCACGGGGCATGATACGTCTTCTTATGATGTGCGTTTTGCCCCCTCCTGCGAACCCGGCTTTTCGTTATGCGAAACTGGATTTTCCTTATGCTGGCCTGGTTAATGCTGGGAGCAGGGAGGGGGTGGGGGAGGGAAGGGGAAGCGGGGTGGGACGTGAGGCTTCCAAAGATGCTACTGGCGGCCTAAGCATGCTTTCATATGGAAGCGAGCAATTGCGGTAAGCCACCCATTAAGAACTTATCCTTGCCATACCAATTTTTGACCCTGAAATCATCTGAAATCCAAACCAGGAAAATCACCGAGATTGGAAGTCCAAATCTCAGCAAAACCCGTACCACCTGCGAAACCTCTTTGGAGTGTTAGCCTTTTTCCACGACGTCCAGGGGAAGTCGATTAGGCTGAGCTTTCGAATAAGATCAAGAAGACTCGTCGCGGCAGCCAGACTAGAGGCTCCAGGCCCAATCACTGCAGTGAACCATGAGGTCGTCCGAGTAGCAAGAGCAACTCGAATTACAAATGTAGAGTCGGTGCCAAGACTGCCACGGAAGAATACTTGTCGTCTCTTGGCTCGTTGGGGTGGGGCGGGCTTCTGGGCGGAGGGGTGAGGAAGGAGGATGGGTAGCGAGGACTACAGCACCGGCGTGGCAGGAGGGGCGAAGGGGAGAGCACGAAAACAGATAGCAGCAAACAGCATCAGCACAAACCACAGGAACAAACAAGTTCCCAGCTGCCATGCACGCTGTCTTGCTGACGGCTCTACCCGAAAGCTAGTGCACCGTCGGCTGAAAAGACCCCGAGAGACACCCGGGGGCGGAACTACGTGACCGCTGGGCGACCGGGCTCAAGGTTCCGTACTTTTTCCATGGCCAAGGCCACCCTGGAGGCTCACATCTGATCAGACTCAGCTAATTTCCTCTCCTTTAGACTGCAGAAGTTCAGGCGAACGGCGCTTGCACCTCTGCCTGAATGATTCGGTACATATTGGCACACGCTGCCAAGGTTTCAATCTTGAGAGCGGCGATATCGCAGGTGCTCGGAAACCTTTCACCTAGGCAACACTTCCGATGGCGGCAGTCCCGATGCCATGCTCTTTTCCAATCGCGAGTACAGCAGATACGAGTGGGACCGGGAGATTAAGACCGTCAGTGGTCTTTGTCCTACACATCCCACGGCTGCAGTATGGTAATAAGAACAGATTTGGTGGGAAGGCACGCACGTGGATTGGAAGTTGTTCTGTATCATCAAACTACAATACAGAAGCCTTCGCACAAGCCCAATAGTAAATGCAGGAAGGTCCATGCCGGATCCCAAAGACTGAAAAAGGTAAAGATGCAAATTCGCTGCAAAAGCCTAAGACTTCTCTTGGCATCCGGCATGGTTTTCCTGAGTGCTGCCGGAGAGGCCGCGTCCGTGGTAACAGCAATACCGGTGTTCTGTTTCGCAATAGCAGTTGTTGCAATAGTTGCTGCAGCAGTAATATGGAGTAGTAGTAGTAGTAGTAGTAGTAGTAGTAGTGGTAGTGGTAGTGGTAGTGGTAGTGGTAGTGGTAGTGGTAGTGGTAGTGGTAGTGGTAGTGGTAATAGTAGTAGTAGTAGTAGTAGTAG